CACCTGGATGGTTCTGTGTCCTTGGTGGCAGGGCACGCAGTGCTGGCAGAGTGCCCCGCAGCCGGGGCCCGCGTCACAGTCGACGCAGAAGAGGGTGGCCTGCGCGGCGGCGCATGGAGCGGTTGAGGGCCTGTCGTGAGTGGGGGCGTGCGGGGCTCGGCGGGGAGGGCTGGGGGCGCGTGCGCATTCCCGCCGGCCGGCGGCGGCGAGGGCTGGCGGGTGGCAGTCGCAGGGAGGCTGGCCGCTTGGCCTGGTCTGCAGGAGCACGTTTTCGAGGGCGCGCACTGCCCACCTCGCTCTTCCTGAAGTCCTTGTGGACGGGGCAGGGGTTGAAGAAGCTGCGCGGGCGCGATGGCGAGGGGAGCGAGGGGAGCGGTGTGAGAGGCGGAAAGTGCAGGAAGGTTGTTCACGTGGCACGTGGCCCCTCAATTGCCATTGTCGCTTAGCGGGAGTTGGGGGTTAACCAACGTGTGCGCGTGCATTCAGTCTTGTGCGAGGCACACAGCCGTTGACGCCAGGCTGGGTGTGATCATGCCAGGGACCTTTGAATGCAGTGGGCGAGCAGACGGTGGCCGCCATGACGGCCATGTCAGCGCGCGGCACGCCCGGCGCACCTGCCGCTGCAGCTGGTCGAAATCAAGTTGCGCAGCCAACCCTCGATGTTGGGCGAGGGGGCCGCGGGCTGAGGGGCCTTCGAATTGCTTGTGCCACGCGGTGCCTTGCTGCTGATCTGCTTGCAAGCCCTGCCGCTGGTTCCCTGGCCACTGCTGCTGACACGAGGCTCAGCGGAGTTCAAAACGGCCTCGGTCCAGCCGGTGGTCGGCAGGCCGCAAAAGACCGGCCCGCCGAAGAGCGGCAACTGGGGAACCCCGAACGGAAAGGGCAGGGCGCCCGTTGCCTGCGCGCGGAGGCCCCAGGAGTATGATAGTGTTCCAATTGATGGCATACGCCGTTGCGCGGGGGCGTCCACGGCCAGGTGCCAACTCCGAAACAAACAATGAACAAAGGCTGGGGGGCCGCCATCATGCTCACCAGCGTAGCCATAGGTACAGAATGTTGATAAGATACGTGTTCAGTCACGCGGCTGGCCTGGATCGCCGCCGCGGGCCTCCCCGCGAACAAAGGCACGGAAGGGACTTTGCTGCTGCAGAGCCTCAAGCTGTGAGCTGTGAAAGCTGACCTATGCAAATAATTGGCATGTTAGACCGGCCGATGGATGGACAAGAACGCGGGGCGTAAAAATCAAGTTCGAGTGCGAATGCCACCGTGGCACACCCCGGTGTGCCAGGACGTCTTCTACGTGCGGTAAGGCAAGGATATGAGGCGCTTTGTGTAATTGATTATACTGGACCAGCAGCCCTGAAACCTGGTGCAGCCATGGCTCCGCAGGTGGCTGCCCTCTGTGCAAGCGCGTCAACCAATACAGAAGCGGCTGATGATCAGAGGACATGGGAGCGTTCACTGCTCATGGCAATTGCAATCATAGCATGTAAGGACCCAATTGGCACCGTCGAGACGGCCCCATGGACCCGATCAGGTGAGGCGCTTGTGGCAGGATCTTCTGCAAGATATGGTCGTGGACTAGCCCCCCGGCAAAGGGTCCACAGCCATGGTGACCAGCATGGCAAGCAGCACTGCATGATGGCGCCTCTACGAAACCCAACGCAGCACCCATAGCCAGGGGCCGCGCAGTTGCACACGGCATTGTCTCACTGGCCTGTGGCCGCAGGCAAAAGACCTGCCCGGACCCAGGCAAGGCAATTCCTCTCTGCACCAGGCACGACAAGCTTGTACCCTTGGGGACATCACTGCCCGCATCCCTCTGCGACAGCACTGCTTGACTCACAAGGGCGCCCTTGCATGTTACACAAACATCTGGGCGGCTCAGCAACAAGGCAAAGCACGGCGGCCTGCATTCACAACCCCGAGCGGGGGCCGCTGGTTCGTCTAGGTTTCAAGCGACGGCCGTAAGAAACCGCCGCCCTCGGGACAAAAACAGGCCGGGTGTGCCGACATCCCGCACACGAAGCCCGTTGCGCCCGGCCCACTGGGCCCGGCAACTGAAAACAGCCTCTCAAACCGTGCGGTCCGGGGGCGGGACGCAACAGAGCTATGCCCCAGAGCCCCGGCCACGGCGGCCGCCACCACACCAGCGGTGCACATGGCAGCGCGCGTGCGGCGTCCCCTCCTCGCTTCACTCGACATGCAGCTGCTGCCAGCAGACTGGTTCCAGCGCGCCGCTTACTGCAGCTGGGCGTACCTGCATACGCACAAGGGAGTGCGGGTGAGGACCACGTTATGAATTCAAGTGGTCTGTGGCCCCTCCGATACGCGCGCAGTCCACAGCAACCCCAGGCACAGTCAGCGCGGCGCACCTCTGCACATGCGTGCATGCAGCAGCGGCGACATTGCGATTGTGTCCCCGCCCTAAAACACGTAAAGGATACACAAACCCATGCACATACGATCACCAAGACCCACCAGAGGCCGGTGATCTTCACGTCCTTGGGGGCCTTGGCACCCAGGTCGGTGTCGGAGGGCTGCACGGACTCGAACACGCCGGCGATCTCGCCGGTGGAGGGGTCAACCTTGGCCACGCTGAACACGGCGGAGCCTACGGGTCGAGGGGGCGCGGGCAGGGGAGCATGGGCGTGGGAACAAGGGCTGCCGCGGCTGGTGTGGCAGGTTGGCCCAGCCGCGCGCTGTGCTCTTCCAGGCCGGCCGCCTAACCTGCCGGCTGCGCGTGCGCCGCCGCGGGTCGCTGCGCGGCTCACCCTTGGAGGCGGCCACGCTCTTCACGTTCTCCTTCAGCACAAACTCGTCGTCCTGGGCGGTCTGCAGGGCGATGGCGCTCTCGTAGCCCTGGCTGGCACCACGGCCCTGGATTTTGGGTCGGTCAAAGGGGCAGGGACGCAGCCAGCGAGGGAGAGAAGTGAGTGGTGACCTCGGCGCGCGAGGCCGCAGCAGCAATGCTGGAAGCTGTCAACCCCTTCCTCCTGTGAAATCCCGGCAGGGCCTCTGCACCAAGCACCCGCTGCTCAGCAGTCCATGCCCCCTGATCAGCACCCGACCCGGCTCGCGTGCACAAGCACACTTGCTTCCATGCACACGCGTCATGATGCATACCCGTTCTCACTCACATACATGTATACACACACACTTTCGCACACACACACACACACACACGCACACCTTGGGGTCCAGGAAGGTGGAGCCGCGGTAGCTGGGCACCACAAAGTCCCCACCGAACGCGTCAGCCGCGCCCTTGGCGGTGATCTGCTTCACCGAGAAGAGGAACGGCACGCGCTCGCCGCCGGGCAGCTGCACGGTCACGGGGGCGTAGTCGATGCCGTCGTCCTCCTTGAGCTCGACGTTGCCGCTGCCGTCGACCTTGAAGGTGCCGGTCATCTGGGGGGTTGCGCACAGGACAAGGCGGGCGCGCCGCGAGGGACGGGAGCGGTCAGGAGCGGGGGACAAGCCGGTTCCGTCGCTGCGCATATCACCACCGCCGATTGCAGCTGTGCAGTGCTACGCACCCCCACATCTGCTGCAGCTGTGCACAGCCGCAACTCTTGTGTTGGCTGCCGCAGATTCGCGCCTCAGGCGCGTTGCAGCCCCACACCAGTGCACTGCCTAACAGCCTGCACAAGTGTTCTGCCAAGGGCACTGCTGCTCAACCGCCGTCAACTCTTCATTCCACTGCTGGTTGTGCCATTCATACACTCGTGTCCCCTACAACTGCTGCTGCGCCTGCTGCGCCTGCTGCGCCTGCTGCCCATGCTGCTCCTCCTTTGACTGCTGCTATCGCGACTGCTGCTCTGCTGCTGCTAGTGCTGCTACTGTTGCTGCTGCTGCTCGTGCTGCTATCGCAACAGCTGCTGCTGCTGCAGCGCGCGCTCACCCCGTCCAGGGTGTAGGTCAGGCGGGTCATCAGCTTGGTGGCGACGAAGTTGGTCTCACCGCCCTTGAACTGGGACTCCTCCTTCACGCTGAAGGCAGTGGGCTCCATGCAGAAGCGCTCCAGCTTGTAGGTGCCAGCCTTCAGGTCCTTCAGGTTGGTGGAGCCGCTGGACAGCACGGGGCAGGTGTTGGCGAGCCCGCTGCCCTTGACCTGGAGGTAGGTCAGCGACTGCAGCTCGTCGTAGGTCAGGGCGTTGGCGGCCTGCGAAACACCAGGAAACGGAACATGGTACGGGCGAGAGGGTGAGAACGAGGAAGGAGCGGATCGGGCGATCGCAGGCAGGCAGCACAGCACGGGGCCAAGATGGGCCGGATCCGGGCCTGCGCAGCTCACCCCGGCGAGCATGGAGGTGGCCAGGACGGCAGCGGCCGCGACCTGGGCGCCCTTGCTCTCCGCGCGCACCACCACCGAGCGCCTGCAAAACGTTGCGGAATGGGGGCGCCTTTGAGCCATTGACGCCGCGACAGATCCTCATTGCCCTCATATCTTATATCGCAGTTATCTGACCTGCTGGCGGTGGCCTTGGCGCAGCGCGCCACGTTGAGCTGCTTGAGCTGCATCTTGGCTGCAGTGGGTGCCTGCAGAAACGCTGCAGTTGTATGAAGCGTGGTGATGAATGCGAGAGTGGCCGCGCATGGATCGCGGGGTGCAATATGTCTCTATGCCCTCGAGGTTTTGTGACCAGGTGACGGTGTCCCGCACTTGCTGCGCGATCCCGTGAGCTCTGTGGATTTAAGCTTTCCAAGCGTGTGGTAACGGTGATATTCGGTAAGTTCCTGGCGGCGAGCATGCGGGGCGTTGATGCCGGCCCTGATCGCCGCCGCTGTCAGGACGCGAATGAGTTCAGGGGTCGGTGCGTGCGCAGGAGCTTGGCTGCCCGGTGGTCGGCACTCGCCTGCGCCAGTGAAGTGTAGGCCACATGTAACTGTGATAATCAGGGTTGCTCAAGAGTGACATCACAGAAGGATATCCACCTTGCACGTGACCTCCTGACAAATCACCCCCCAGCACTGCAGCTCCCTTCGTTCGGCCCTGCATCAGATGGGCAGAGCATGTATTACACCAAGGAGCGCTGCCCAGCATGTAGATCCTGACGGTCACGCGACCGCATACAGTACCGCCCCCAAAAAAGTACTGTTCAAGTGGCAAAGTATCAGCCCGACTGGTCATGAGCAAGCTGTGTGGTGGGTGGGGGCCAGGAGTCCAGCACTGGTGCGACGCGTGGCTGTTGTTGAGTCATACGCCTCAACTCATCACTGTCATCGTCGCATCACCCTTCTCCCGTCCCCCTAAGTCCACGTCAGTGATCTTCCTGTGTAATCAAAGCGCTGCAACATTCAAGTACTTGCGGCAACTTGGTCCTGCACCCTTCATTGTGATTGGCTGCAATCACTTCGCGTAGCGCCTCAACCCCGCATTCCCCCATTCAACAAAATCCACATGCGTACGACTGGGGCCTCATCATCCCTCGCGCCACATCAGCGAGCCCCCACTCCACTGGCGCCCCTGCCCCCTCCCCGCCTCAGTCGACCCACACGTCGCCGCCGCCGCCGCAGCGCCGCACCACGCACAGCACCAGCAGCAGCGCGAGCAGCGCGGCCCCCACGATCAGGTCGATCGCAACCCAGAAATTCCAGACCCCCAGGGACCCGACGAGCACTATGGGCGCCAGCACGCCAAAGACGATGGGCAGCTGCCCCAAAAACATGATTTGGAGGGACAGCACCTTGAGCGCGCGCCGCAGCGTGCGCGCGCGGCGCGGCGGACGCCCCGCGCCGCCGAACAGTGCCCAGCCGCGGCGGCGCGGCGGCGGCGCGGGTGACGGCGCCGCTGCTGCGCCCGGGCCGCCGTCGGCCTCCTCGTCGGCGACGGCGGGGGCGGCAGCGGCCTTGGTGGGGGCGGGGTCCGAGTAGGCAGGGGGTGCGCAGCCGCAGAGCGCGAGGGGCCGGCTGACGAGGCGTGAAATGAACTTCAGGTCTGCGGGCGGGAAAGAGAGTCCGCAGTGCAATCCACAGTGAGGGGGGCCGCTTCCAAGCGTGGCGAGGTATCATTGGCATGACGCCCTCGACAGCTGCCCGCAGGCGAATGCGGTTTCCAGGTTGAGCCCGCCCATTGCGGGCAACGGGCTGGCACCGCCCCTAGTGTCGCGAAGCCCCCCGGCCCCAAGCTGTTCCCGGCTGCCTACCTGCAAGCACAAGGCCTACGGCCAGGGTGAACCCGATGGCCAGCACGAGCGCCAGCAGCGCCACTATCTCCTCTGCCTTGAGGGTGAACACGCCCCTGGGGATCGGCGGCGTGAGGGCCGGCTGTCGCGGCGAGCGTTTTTTCGACGGGCGAGGGGGCGGCATGTATAACAACCACAGGTATGCAGGGGCGAGATACGGCGGAGGGGCGCCGGCGGTGAATGCGCGTTTGCTGCGAGGCCGAGGCTGACGGTTGAGGGCGGATCTTGTTGACAGCAGCAGCAGCACTGGAGCGCTGCGCGGCTTGAGGTGCGCAGCGGCAATAGGATGCATGCAGATGCGTGCTCGAAGGCTGGGCGGCTAGGCCGCCGCTGGATTTGCCCGGCTCATTTTCGGTTGCGTGGCAGGCGCGTGCTGATGTGGAACTTTTGCACAAAATCACCCCACCCAAGCATGACCCCAGGGCAGCAGGCCGGCCCTCGCCACACCGGCCACCCACTTGTCTGTGTAAAAGCGCTGCGAGAACGCCCAAACCATCATCGACTGCTCACATGGCGGTTGGGAGGCGGGGCGCACGGGCAGGCGGGGCGGCAGCGTGAGTGTGCGCATATGCCATGGGCTCTCGTAACACGGTTATCATGCGCGGACCACACAAGCAGCACCAAGAGCTGTGAGGCAACACAGGGGGTGCGTACGTGCTGGGCATGCGTGCTGTATGCGCGTGCTGTGCACGCTGCGCCCCGCCCACCGTGACGGGCTTGACCCAAAGCAGCGCCGTCAGGACTGCCGCCGGGATTATGGCCAACGCCTTTGGCAGCACGCGGCGAGGCTCGCGGGCGTAAAAGACCAGGGTATTAAAGCCGACGGATATGAGTGCCACTATGATGGCAATGCGGACATCCTGGGCCAAGGGTGAGGTCTGCAGACACAAGAGAAATCGGGGTGGGGTTCGGGGTTGTATGAGGGTGGCTGGCCGCGATTATCGGGGCAGGTATAAGATCGGTTGGTGGAGGGGAGAGGCGCGGCCCCATCTCCCTCGTGGAGAGTGAGATGGGGAACTCAGGTGGGGTGCTGGTGCACCCCGGTTAGGGAGCAGTCGAGACGGCCGCGTCAACAGAGGCTGCGACAGGCGGCAGGCTCGAAACGGCATGCTTCACTGCGACGGAGGCTTGCTGCCCGTGCGCGCGGCTGCACCAGCAGACGCTCGCACCGTGCAGGGCGGCTGGTCGGTTGTGCGTTTGCCGGCCTCTGCGCGCACCGCCTCAAAGGTGTACCTGCGAAAGCGGTGCAAGGCGCAACCCAGCGGTTTAAAGCGAACGAGCCAGCCAAGCAGCACAGCGCTGTTTACCTCTACCTAATGGGCCAGGCTGCATGCAAGGGCCGAAACACCCTTCGCGCTGACCGCTCGCTGGCAGGTTAGAGCACAGCCGCTCGCGTCAGCAAATTTGGTCGTGCGTGTAGTGCCGTCAGGCCGTGCTGTGCCTCGCAGCGTGCTGGCTGGTACGCCTGTTTGCAGTGCGGTCGGCGCAGCGTGTGCGGTCGGCGGCGGTGCAGGCGGGGGGGTGCCAACAGGTCAGGGCGCTTGCCTGATCTCAGCCGGCTCAGAGGGCAGCGAGCACCAGGCTTGCTGCCAGCGCAGCTTGTTGATGATGCTCTTGAGGGCAGGGTGGCAATGATTTAGGGAACATGGGATTAGACAGAGGCCGAAGGTGGGAGTTGTGGGAGGTTTAGGGTTTAGGGTTTAGGCAGAGGGGGATAGCAATATAACGGGCGAGAAGGGCAGATGCGTGTTCAACCTTGCCTGGTGATTCTGCAGGTGTTGCTCGCTGCAGTTGTGGCCAGGTGTTGCAAGTGACACATGGTGGATGCACCAACGGTGTGTCCTACAAGCCCTGCTTTTTCTTGTTGGCTGTACGGGCTGGATTACAGTCCGCCGTGCGTTCTGTGCTGTGTAGTTGCAACACCGCCAGCAGAAGCATGCACAACCCGTGCGCCACCCGCCCGCCTCAGAACCCCCGAGGATGGAGCCACTCCGCGTCGGCTAAACATGCACGCGCACAGAGCCCGAGTTTACCCACCTGCAGCACGACGAGCTTCAAAAAGTCCGACAGCGCAATGACGACTGTCGGCAGCCACACCAGCGCGTGCACCCCGTGCTGCCTGAAGCCAGACCTCGTCCTCAGCGCCACGCACTGCCCCACGACCCACAGCAGCAGGCTGCCCAGGGCGAACGCGGCAGCGGCGGCGAGCGTGACGATGGTGAGGATCCAGAACACGCGCGTCTCGTTGGCGGGGGAAGCGTCGCCGCCGCCGGCGGAGGGCGGGCGTTGCGCGGGGAGGCGGTTGAGGGAGTTGATGAGGTTGAAGTCCACCTGAGGTCGCGTGGGTGGAGCGGCGTTTGCACGAATGCACAATATCCAAGGGGTGTGTTCAGGGGACGGCACGGCGTGTGAGCCGGCCGTGGCGGCTTGCCGTGGGTGGGTGGCTGCACAATGCCCACGGAGTGCATGGTAGAGCACTGGAAATTTGATGAACCCCCTTCTGCCCGCGGGCAGACGCTTGCATGTTCTGCAGGCTTGTGAGTGCGCTGACAGTTCAATTGGTCGTAAGATGTTAGATTGTGTGTGGCCGCTTATCCTTGTTTGACATGTACCCACCCACCCCTTAAACATACAAGACTCACATAAGCCTGGTACACCACGAGGGCGGTCAACACCGCCAGGTGAAGCAGAATCAGCACCAACTGCAGCACCCCCCTCGCGGCGCGCCCCGCGCCACCAACGCCCCGGCCGCCCCCGGCTGCCGCCTTGGGCACCGCGGGCGGCGGGGGCGGCGGCGGCGGCGCCTCCGCGGTCACCACGCGCTTGCCGGCCGGCGGCGCGGCGAGGGCGGCGGCGGGCTTGGGAGCGTCTGCGTATGGTGTCGTGTCGTCGGCGGCGGCCAGCACAGGTGACGGCGTGCGCGAGCCTCGGCCCTCGGAC